GGGAAGGCCTCGGGGCTGCAGGGGCAGGAGAGGGGAGGGGAGAGCCCAGCTCCAGGAGGGGATGGGAAGTGCGGGGAAAGGCCTCGGGCTGCAGGGGTGGGGGGGAGGTGTGTGTGGGGGGGTGGGGGGTGGAGAACCCAGCTCCTCCCTAGACGCAGCTTCCCCTGAGGCTGCTGCCTCTGCTGCCTTGACAAAATGCTTTTTTAATTGAAATATAGTTGATGTACAGTATTATATAAGTTTCAACTCTATTCCCTGTGCTGTATAATACATCCTTGTGGCTTATTTATTTTATACATCGTAATTTGGCCTCTTAATCCCCTTCCCCTCTCTTGCCCTCCCCCTCCCCGCGAGTTTGTCCTCTGCGTCTGTGATTTCTGTTGCCATTTAACAAGGGGTAATCTGGGTCCAAAGACTGATGAAACTTTGGGCTAAAAGTGTCTTCCTCTTAAATGCCAGGATTGTGGCAGGGAGAGAAAGAAGAGAGAGTGAGCGGGAAGTTTTCCCGGCCGAGTCTTCCCTGCTCGGCACTCAGCCCCTGCGCCTCCGCCACCCTCAGCCGCTGCACCTCCGCTGCACCTCCGCCACCCCTCCAGCTCGGGCCAGCTCACGCCCTCCCCTTAGAAGACAGCTTCTGAGGAACAAAGAGGCCCTGAGCTGTTTCCCGGCCCAGCTGCGCGCCAGCCAAATGTCAAGCTGTTTACCTCCCGGAGGGGGGGGGGGCAGTTCCCGGGGTGTGCCCCCATGGCACCAGCAGGGGCTGGGAGGGCTGTGTACTCACTGCACAGGAAGCAGGATTTGTGGAAGCTGCTGCCTTCGCACTGAACCTCCTCAGCAAAGTACACCGTCTTCCGGCACAGCCCACACTTCTTACCTCCTCCCCAGTTCGGCATATTCTGAAAGTGGACGCGGAAACAGGAATTAACTCCCCGGGGAGACGGAGACACAGATGGCCCACCACAGAGGAGCCGGGGGCAGAGGCCGAGGCGGGGGCAGAGCCCTCCTCGAACGGCAACCTGGGGGCTTCCCACCCCAGAGCCCACAGGTAATCGCTGAGCAACCGCTGTGTTTTCGGCCCTGTGCCCGGCATTCTAAAGGATACACACAAGCACGAGACACAGGCCATAACAGCAGTAACGACAAACCATCTGCCACGTGCGTCCGCAGGGATGAATCTCACAAAGATGAATTTGGAGCAAAAGAAGCAGATAAGCTAGAGCTCATAAAACACAAATTATCTGTGTCAGGCCCGCAAGCAGGCAAAATTCTATGGTCAAGGGAGGGACCCATGGGTGGGAGAGTTATAAAGAAAAGCAAGTATCACAAACAGACTACTGTCTTAGATTTGTTACCTCAAAGAGAGGAAAAGGGGGCCACCAAGGCGGCTGCTAAGACACCAGCCATGTGTGGTTATCACACAGAGGCTCCCTTTGTAATTATTCTTTGAACTACACATATGCAGCTTTTCTACGCTCTTTTGTATATAAGATATAGCTCACCAAAAGAACCATTCTTTTTTAAAGCAGGAGGTAGGCACACAGGGCACAGGTAAGAGTCCATTAGAATGCGGGGAGGTGGGGGGCTTTTGCAAACTCAGATTTCCCAGCGCCAACTCTGACCCGAGGAATCATGACCTCTGAGGATGAGGAGCAAGAACGTGAATTTTTAACAAGCACCCGGGTGAGTCCCAAGGAGGCGGCCTGGGACGGCACTGCGATGCTCTAGGTATTGGTTCTGAGCTGGGGTCCTGATGCCAGATGGGTTTGGTCCAGTCCTGACCCTGCCACTCACTGGCTATGTGTACCCTGAACGAGGTAGCTGGTCTTTCTAAACCTTGATTTCCACATCTGTAAAATGGGGATAAAAGCAAAAGCGACTTCATAGATCATTTCCAGGGATTCAGTGAGACACACGGCGTGTCAAAGGCGCGGCTCAGTGCCTGGCACGGGCTGAGTGTGCGGTGACGATTATTAGCGCAAGAATCCAAGGCACAGGGGAGGCGACACTGCAGATCAGAGCCCGAGCAGCACAGACACAGATGCCCGCAGAGCCCGAGATCAGGGAAGGCCCATCTCAACCACTCTCAACAGATGCCTGGCTGCCAGGGGACGGCGACCCTTCCAGTTCTTTGGACAGAAGTGCACGGGGCTGGGGTGGGGGGCTATATGGGGGGCGCCGGCGACTGCGGGTACAAGATGGGTGATGGGGTGAGTAGGGCTCAGGGTGCTGGGAAATGGAGGGTGGGCAGGGGAGAGGCAAACCCCCCGGGATGTGCGTCATGGAAACGCCGGACGCAGGGATGGGGCATCCAGAGCCCACCCTCTTGGTACCAGGGATGTGCCGGCAGCTAGAGTCGGGGTCAAGGGCAGAGGGGACGTGGTCTCCACTGCCCGGAGCTTCCCATCTGACGCAGTGTAGGGACAAAACTTGCCATCCCGAAACGTCTCTCTGTCCTGCACGTTATTTCAAGCTGAAAACAATCAAGGCCCAAGAGACTCAGGAAGAAACTGACCTTCCCCCAGCTGCCCAAAAGAATTTCGATAGAGAGCCTGTTCCCCAAACAGAGCTATCGCCAGAGATCTCTGCAAAGAACATGGGCCGGGTGTGCTGGGAGGGTCGGCAGCGCCTGGAGACCAGAGTCCACTCTGTCCCATCATGTCTGTTGGCTCAGCAAACACTCGCTCACCAAGCATTTGCTTTTCCATCTCCATGTAAATGGCCTTCCTCCCCTTTGAGGTCCCAAACCACTACCCCCAACTTCCTCTTTTGTCTTTAGCTGAAGATGGTATTTAAGGGGAGGGTTTCAGCCACTTTGGGGAGTTACTCAGGTTTTCTGGGTCGCTCCCATGTAGACATGTTCTTGAATTCTGATTTTCTCCTGTTCGTCTGTCTCGTGTCAATTTAATTTTTCTCCAGTCAGAAGCTAGAAGGGTGGAGGAAAATTTCTTCCCTCCCCCCGCCGCCCCGGAAAGTGGACACAGGCCTCCGCTCAACAAGAAGGTCCAGTCGAGGTTCACTACCAAGTCCCCTGCACACACGTGTTTGTACAGGTGTGTGCACCTGGCACACAGGTGTTCATACAGGTGTTCGATAAATCGGCTCCCCTAATACTGAGAGCCACAGCTGGTCCATGCCCCACATCCATCTCTGCAGAGCCCGAGGCCCTCACAGTGCTCAGTGGGTATGTGCGCGATGAGAGCAGGCTCCATGTGGGGAAGGGGTGTTCGTGACGCCAGCTTCCGAGGACCCAGGCTGGAATATTTTCGGAACCGGGGGAATCTCCAGCGAGGCTTTGCCGGAGTGGACCAGTCAGTCACTCTTCACTGCCTCTGCTCTGTCCTCCCGTGTCCTGAAAGCTGGGTTTCCTCTGGCCCCACCCTGGTCCCTCTCTCCCCCGCAGTCTCCTCTGGTCCCACTGCACCTGAGGTCACCCCTGCCAAGGACTTCCATTCATCGCTGACCTTGACCTCTGCCCCGAGCCCAGGCTCGTACACCCGGTTCCACGGGAGAACCTCCACCTGGATGGTCCACGAGCACCTCGATTTCAACACGAGCCACCTGAGCCCATTACCTTTCCTCTCTAACTTGTTCTTTTTCCTGACTTGTCCATTTTTTGCTGCTGGAACCGCAGCCATTCTCTCCAGCACTGAGGAATCTTATCCCAAACCCTAGAATGGGGAGAAGTTCCCCTCTCCCGGCTGCGCCTGCTCTGTGCCCCCTTCACCTGCTCACCCCAAACCCTGACACCCCTGCCTCTCCGGGCCTCTCCCCACTCACCTTCACTCAGCTGGCCCACGGCCCCCTTGGAGGGGCACCACGCTCCAGTCCCCTTCTGCTTGGGAACCACCCTGATTTTCAGCCAGCGCACACGGGCTGGACCTAAGCTGACCAGCCCGGGTTACCGGTTGGGGATGGGCCAGCTACGCATTTCAGGCCAAGGAGACAGAAGGGAGTTCTGGGGGCTCCGGGGAAGAAAACATCCTGATCCTCAGAGAGAACGTCCTGGAAGAAAGCCCCCCTCCCCTGAGTGACGAGGGGGAGCAATGGGCTCCGGGGCTGTGGTTCCAAGGGGGACCAGCCGTCCCAGGAGGAAGCTGACAGCAGAGAAGGGAGCCGCCCTGACATCACTGAGCCACAGAACAAGGCCAGACACCACGCTGACTAGTCTCCGGATTCTCCAGTTAAACAAACTAAGACGCTCCCCTGCTGTTTAAGCCAGTTACCCTGCACCTGAATGCATCCCCAGAGAGGACAATTCCGGCCACCCTGCTTCTGGAATCCCCTTCCTAGCCGCCCCCCGCTCCCCCCTCCAGACCTTCTTGGCACAGAAGGGGACTCTCAATCCTCACCCTGAGAGCCTCCCGGGAGTACCTTCCCAGCTCTGTCTCCTGCTATACCGCCTGCCCCTCACACATCCTCAGGGTTGGTGATTTAATTGCCCCAGCCTGGGGCAAGGCACGTGGAAGCCCTCTGGGCAGGGCGGAGGCCCACCGTCCTCACCCACGTGGGTCTGGACTGGCCGTTGACCTGCACAGGGCCAGCCTTCCCCTCCCGGGCTCTGCACCGTCCACAGCTCATCAGGCTTCCGCACATCCCACACCCCCAGAGGACAGGATCGCTCGAACTGCACGCGGCCCTGCTCTGCCTCCTCAAATAACCCACCAGGCCCGAGCTCCTGGAGCCCCAGGGCCAGCCCCATCCCCGGCCTCTGAGGCCCCGCCATTCCTCTGGCCCCTCTGCCCTGCTGAGCCAGAGCTGGGCGCTGCAAACCAGGAAGGACAGTCGGGTGGGAGAAGCAAGGTCGGTACTGCCCGCCTAACCGTCCCCCACGCCACCCTCGCTGCAGAGCCCCGTTCTAATCAGGCAGCCACCGCTGCACCGAGTGACCACAGGGAGGTGCTCAGGGCAGAGCCCAGACCCCTGAGCCACCTGGCAACTCCAGTCCCTGCGGGGCGGTGCCGGGACGGCCACTGGGCGGGGAGCCCTGCGAGAGGTTCTGGTTCACGCGGAGCCATGTGGCTTCTCCGACGAGGTGACTAGACGCGACCCCCAAACCCCTGCCCGCGGCATCCAGCAGACAGCCTGCCCTGAGTCTGCTGACCTACTGTGTGCCGGGCAGTCTGCAAACACCATCCACTTCTCCTGGTGACCTGGGGCTGGGGACACGCCCGTGACACACATGAAGACACAGGGCTGGGGAGGCCAGGTCAGCCCCCTGCGGTCACCAGGCTGTAGGAAGCAGAACTGGGACCCAGCCGGGTCCAGCCACCCAGTCACTGTGCTGGTGCCATCGTATTCAGGGGGGCTGCACTCGGGGGGCGTCCAGGACGCCTGGGCTCCTTCCTCACCTTGCTTTCCACCCCCTGAACCCACAGGGGACGTCCTCCATCCCCTAGGACACCCCTAAGGGAGGAGGCTTCCCCAACCACGTGGTGGGAAGCTGTTTGTTCCCAGCAGTGTTTTGTTCCCAACACAAAAGCCCTTCTCCCTCGTGGAGACCCACATATCCAACAGGCCGCCCTTGTTCTCCCTGGCTCCGGGTCAGGGGCCCACAGCCAGCAGGGCCCAGGGAACAAGGGGCAGGGCAGGATGGGCGAAATCTGCCTGGGGCGCCTCCCGGCTGGGCCACTCCTCAGCCAGGCCACTTGGTGGGGGTCCCCTTCGGGAGCCCAGAGAAGGGACAGGGCCCGGCGCCTTGGACAGGTTCCCCTCCCCCCGCCCACGTGAGGATCCCTCCGAGGGATCTACGGGTGGGCGGGGGGAGTCTCAGCTCGGGGAGCCCCGGCCACCTCCTTCCCACCAGCCCCGTCTTCTCATCAGCCAGACTCCGGGGACAGAAGGCCCAACTGCCTTAAAAGGAAACTGTTTCTCAGACCTTCTGGAGCTCCTATAGGGACGCCCAGCTCCTTCTCAGCTGCCTTCTCAGTTCTGAGGACAGAGGCCCTGCAGCCGACGGGGAGGAGAGATGTTCTCTGGGTCAGAGTACAGGCGGCTCAGTTCAGAGGTCAGGAGAAAGGGACCTGGATTCATCCCTTCCCAGCTGAACGATCAAGTGACTTTCCTGTCTGAGCTTTGATGTGGTTGTGTCTCTAAATCGGACCATCCACTGACTCCTTAAGTTGTTCTGGGGATCAGGAAAGAAATTACAAAGCGACGGCCCAGGGCCTGGTGTGCTGTAAGGGCGCCCTCCTGGCGACCACCCGCAGGGCGGGCCCAGGCGAGGGCCGGATGTCTGCTCCCCTCCCCAGCCAGGCCGCATCTGGGAGCAGCCAGGCCTGAGAAGTAGAAATGCCAAACTTCCTTTGGGTGTAAGCACCCCCACAGCCCAGATGCAAGCAGAGACTTGTCTTAACTCTTTTGTCTTCTGCTCTGGGTGACCAAGAAGCTTTGCTGTCCCTGTGATCACATCAGCCACTCTGGGTTTGCAGTGGGTTCCTCCAGAGAGTTCTGGTTCGTCCCACTTCACATGTCGACAATCTCGATAGAGAACCAGCCTTCAATTTTCTGCTGAATGGCTGGAAGTACCTGGGAAGCCATTTACCGGAAATGTCAGGATCCAGGGCCGGTCGGAAGCTAGAAGCCCAGGACTGAACTCTTCCGACGAGTGACAGGCTCAGTGTGCTGCCCCCTCCTTCTGGGGCAGCTGTCTCATCAGGTCCTCTGTCTTGAGAGCAGAGACCCAAGACGGGGCTCGCAGGGCAGCAGAGCGAGAAGCGGACACAGGGCAAGACTCCCACGTTCACCCCACATCTTGTGAAAGTCGGGCTGAGGTGACGGCCCAGTGTGGTCAGGCTTCAGGTTTCAGAAGCCATCTCAGAGACGCTCCACCCTTAACCGCTGGCTGCCAGCGTCTGAGGGAAGGCCTCCTCTCCTCAAATCAGTGGTTTGACTTGACAATCCATGCCATGCCTTTATTTCTCCAGTGGAAAATCCCCACCTCTCCCGTCCCAAAACCTCTTGCCCCCCAGGGCCAAAGGGTGACTTCTGAGCACAGAGTTGAGGTCCCCACCCACGCAGTCTGGTAGAGACCTATCAGGTGTCTGCCTACTTAGAATCACCTGGCTGTGTGATATCCAGCCAGGTACACAGGGGAGCTGTCACCTTTTCCAACTCGCTGTTCAGCCCCTTCCTCCCCGCACCCACGTCAGGAGGGCAGCCAAGGCAGGGGCGGGGGCCCCCCGCCGCTCAGGGTTCAGAGCCCAGGTCTTAGAGGTGCCATCTGAGAGCCTGGCCAACAGTCCTGCCTTGAAAGGAATGGTCACTGCTGGGGGGACGAAGCGCCAACATGCGGTACAAACCCGGCCTGAGCTTCACGGGATTTCTTGGGAACCCTGCACGTGACTCAGCCTCTGGGAGAAGCCGGCCGGCACCGCTGCGCTGCGATCCCTCTAGACCCCATGGTTCCCAAAACTCGAAGGTCACCCTGGCTCCCTCTCTCCCTCCCTCTCTGAGTCCTGTCTTTTCAAGTCCAGGCCCCGAGGCCCTTGTGGGGCAGCGGGCTGGGCTGGCACCTGCCCCCCAGCACCTCCTATAACAGAGCGTTCCACCCCCGGCGTTCAGAAGTCCAAAGGTCAACCAAGGTAGAAATGGGGGCGTCTAGAATTCATTCTAAGTATTTCCAGACTGTCACAGAAGTCCTATATCATAACAAGGTCTCACAGGCTAACCAACAGGTAAGTGTCTTTGCTTTTATCTGGAACAATGTCACCTTAGTAACAACTGGTTACCCATGCTGGAAAGGTCTGAACGATCTTCCTGGATTCATTTCTAAAAAGCAAAACCAAAACCCACGAGCCCTTAGTCCTTATAAAACAGGCTGTTTGCAGCTGACATCTCGGGAAGCCCCTGCCCCCCGCGGCTCCTGTATAGACAGCCGGGGGCACTGCAGAGGAGGGTGTGCTTGCTGGGTTGGTGGGTCGGGCGGGGGCTGAGCCTGTGATCCACTATCGCTGCAGAAATCAGACAGTGCCTCCCGGCCCCTGGGAAGAGGTGGAAATGCTAGCTGCCTCGGTGTTTACACTCCTTACCATACTTGGGAATCACTCAGTGTTGACGTCAGACAAATTCCTGGGTAGCTGCGTAGTGCGGCCCCATCACCACCACAGAAATTCCTGCCCACTGGAAACCGCAGCAAAACTGCTCCAGCAGGTACCCGGCACCTCCCCGAAGTGTGTGTGTGTGTGTGTGTGTGTGTGTGTGTGTGTGTGTGTGTGTGTGTGTGTGTGTGTCTTTTCCTCAAGAAGGCTTTTTCCCAGGCTTCCTTTCTTTCCTGCAAACCGGGCACCAAAATTCAAACACGCATCAGACCTGGTGAAAGCGTATCACCTGGGGCCCAGGCCCCGACTTCCAGAAGGGCCCCCTCCTCCTCTCCATCCATGTGGCAAGGGGAAGACCTAGAGGTCGTGCGTTCTAACGGGACTCCATCCACGTTCACACTGCGAAGCCACATCTTCCTTAAGTAGTTTATGAGCCACCATAAAGCTCTTTGTAACGCGAATGACTGGGCGTGGGTTTGCAAGGAGTCTGCCTGTGTCTGAATGGCAGCTGCAACCCCAAGCAAGTTACTCATCACCTCTGAGCCTCAGTTTCTTCGTCTGTAAAATGGGGAGTGTCCGCCCCACCTCACAGACTGCCCCAGATAACACACACATGGAGGATACAGGCCAGTCCCTGGGGCCCAACAAGCACAGACATCTGCCTACTGTTCTCTCTGGGAAGGGCCAGCTCTGAGGCTTGTCCAGATCTTACTTGCCAGAACGCCTGCGTGGTGGCAACTGGTGACCTTTATTCTCACCAGCACCTCAAAATGTTTAATGCAGGATTCCTCTGTCCTCTTCAAGCCAACTTTTCACAATAAGCCAGCTTACAGAAATATCTAAATTCCAGCAGCCTCTCAGAAAAGCCTTCCCAGTTTGCCTTCCCACCAGGAGACCCAGAGTAAATAGAAACCATCCCTCCCTCCCTGACCTGGGCCTCAAGCCCACTCACAGGGCCACCGGCGAGCACCGGAGCACCCGTTTGCCAGGTTCACACGTGTCCGGTAGGGCAGCTCCACGAGCCGCCTACTCCTACCCCCTTCATTCACCAAATATTTACTGCTCGCCAACCAAGTGCCAACACTACACTCCCGGCCAGGGAGGGCTCACCAGCTCACCAGCAGGCAAATGTTAGCCTTGAGAAAACACCTGGGCTGGGAAGGCAGGTGCCGGGACGGCCCAGAGGCAAAGGCCGTGGCCCTGCCACGCCGCAGCACAGGTGGTGGCCGCTCTTCAGTCTCGCCTCTGCGTCTCACCCCCTCAGACCCTCCACAGTGGCAGTGCAGCCCCTCCCCCTCCCTGGCCCACAGCACACCCTCTGCAGGATAAACTTCCTTCCCCGCCTGCCTGTCCCCCGCCCGGATTTCCTCCCCGCGGGACTGGGCATTCCCTGGGAGGCTGTGGACAGTACAGGGCGGGATCCAGCCACAAGGACAGTCTCTCTGGAGAGAGCCCGAGCTCCCCCTGAACATGAGGAGGCTGCAAGTGAGAAGCAGGGCCACAACACCCAGTGCCCAGATCCCACCCGGAGACACCCCAGCCTGCACGCTGAGCTGACAGAGGGGCGGCCAGCTCCTCCAGCCGCCTCAGGGGAAGGATGGGCGAGGCCCAGGGACATGCCCGCCCCGTACCGCCCCCCCAAAGAAGCTGAGCACGAGAGGCGAAGCCCCCTGTCCACGGTCGGCTGAGCATTCAGGGTCAGTCAGGGCCACGCTTTGCACGAGAGCCCACTGGACCTCCCGGAGCCGCTGGGACGGGATCCCCAGGTGAAGCCCTCACAGCTGGGAGGGGGCTGCCCATCCATCCGCGCCCAGGAGCAGGGTTGGTGGCCAGAGCCCAGGCCTCCAGGGAAGGGCTGAGCCCATGCACCCTCCCGCCTACACCCAGGTCTTGATTAGAGCACAACAAATGGGACAGGCGTTTGCAGAACATTCTGCGGCCTGTGAGAGCAGATACGACGCCTGCCTCGAGGTGGCTTGCTGGGTAACATATTGCAGCTTGCTTCAAGTGTGCTGGTAGCAGCCCCTTCCTGCTCCCCGGCCCTCAGGGACTGAGGCCACCAAACACTGTGGTTTCCTTCAGGCTGGGGTGATGGTGCCCACGCAGCGCCAAGACAAGGGGCTAGGGGGTGTGTGAACGTGGCGGGGGGTGACCGGGGACGGCTGCCACCTGGTCCTTTCCTAAGGGTGAAACTCACACCTGGGCGCGGGGCACAGCTGCCCCAGGCGGGCCCTGAACCTAGATGTTCCCCCTCCCTGCCCTTGGCACGCTGTCCAGGGGGCAGGCGGGGGGTGGCACGGCCGCCCTCATCCCCAGCTGTACAATGAGCTCAGTGCGCGCGCAGAATCGCCGATTGTCCCGCCGCGGGACCTGCAGGTGGTGGGGAGACTGGCCGTCCCGGGTCAGGGGCACGTGGGGGCCCTTTGTGTCCCGGGACCCCGGGGCGGGGAGGAGTCCCGCGCCTCCTGGAAAGAGAACCAACCGCCGCCACTTCTCCCCGCTCCGCGGCCCGCGCCGGCCCCAGCCGCCCCTTTTCCTTGCGACCGTCCTCGCAGCTTCCCGAGCGGCGGCGGGGGGAGGGCCGGGGGCGCCCTGCGCGCGGCAGGCCGGGGCGCACTCACCTGGCTGCGGCTGGGCGCGCGGCGGTTGGCGGACGGCGGGCGGGCGAGCGGCACGGCAGCGCTCTGGAAGCGGGGCTGGGCGCGCCCGGCCTGCGCGGCGTTTTGTTCCGCTCGGGGAGGGCGTGTCCGGGCCACGCCAACCAGTGGGCTTTGCACACTGCACCGCACCGGCGCCGATGTCACCGCACCGGCGCTGATGTCACGGCGCAGTCCAGCAGCGCGGCCCCCAGGCCCGAGGCGTCCCGGCTGCGCCCTGCGGACCCCCGGTGCGCCCCGCCGCGGAGGAAGCAGCGGCTCACAAGTGCCCGGAACTTCTCATGGCTTCCCGGCAGCCTAATACGAGGGTGGAGACGCACGTGATCCAAGAGATAAGACTCCTGATAAACTTATGCCACAAGAGGAAGTGTGGGGGGACGGGAGGTGGTCTCGCGTTTGGTGTCCTGGTGGCAGGTGTCACGGGGGCGCCGGGTAAGACAGGCCAAGCTTTAGAGCCCGCCCCTTCCGTGTACTAGCTGGTCCCCGCCCCTAGGCCTCAGGTTCCGCATCTGTGAAGGGGGTATAATCCAGCCGGAAGTGGGTGTTTTTGGTGGCGGGAGGCGCGGGGAGCAGATTGTAGGGGCCTAGTAAGCCTTCAGCAGTGCCCTTCAATGAGTGTAGCCCCCCCAGACAGCTCTGTCCCCTCAGCTTTCCCCAATCTCCCCTGCTATCCAAAGAAGGAGCCCCCCTCCGACCCCCAAACAGCAGCTCTGAGGAGTGGCTGCTTCAGCTGGGCTTTTGTCTGGGCCCCGCCAAGATGCCCAGGGGCAGCTGCTGGTGGGTGGGCCGCCCTCGCCACCTCCCAGCCCTTCCTGCAAGCCCGCTGCCAGCATCTCAGAGGGCGCAGAGGCTCACACCTCTTTCCTGGACGCAGGTACAGCTCAGAAACCCAGTGCTCTGGAGAGAGAAGGAGCTCCCGGGGAGGCCCACCTGGCAAGGAGGGCCCGGTGGGGAGCAGAGAGCGCCAGGCTTTAAAGGAAGGTGCCATCCTCTCCCCCCGCGGTCCTGCCCGCCCCAATCAAGGCGCACTGCCCTCTGGGCCTTGTGGGTCTGGACCCGGAGGATCATGAAAATCTGAGACACTGGTGCTCCCAGGACTGGGAGAGCCTCGGGAGACAAAGCACTTCCTTCTAGTTTGCAGTTTTTGCAGCTTGTTCACTGCATTTCTAAGTCAAAAGGAAACTCCCTCTCATCCTCCAGGTTGAATTACCCCATTTGCACTGAGTGCAGACGCTGATGGAGCAGGGGCTGCGCAGATCCTGGGTGTCCCTTTCACTGTGATCGTGTCCGCTGTGCGCCCGTTTGTGTGTCACCCTCTGCTGCTCTCTTGGGCTCCAGCGTCTCTGTGAGAAGGAAGCCTCCTTCTGCCCAAGGCAGTGAACTGGGGGCAGGTCTGCTGGGCAGCTGGTCCCCCCTCCCCCAGGTCACCCACAGATGCAGCTGCCATGTCTTCCAGGCTGGACAGGTATCAAGGCCTCAGACCCTCACAGGCTTCATTTAGAGCCCCAGGTAGCTGAATCAACTCTTCCAGAAGTCAAGCATCTCATACTCCAGAAAATGGAGTATTATATTTATCTAGGCTTTTCTTACTTTCTACCCTAAGAAACATCTTTCCTTGGGCCGGGCCCTCCATACAAACAGGGTCCCCCAAGATTGGGAGCACCGACCAGGATTTCTTGCACATTGGGTGGCCGTTCTCATCTGACCCAGCCAAGATGTAAGAGCAGAACCCAGGAGAATTCCCGGTCACCCCCGCGCCGTGCGAGCGATAAATCAACAGGCCCGTGACGTTGCCGAACGACATCGGCGTCAGAGGCCACGGGCTCGCTGTGCAGAGGTGGCGGGCTCGCGGGTATCCCGTCTCCCTTCAGTTCCCTGGATCCCGGAGAGAGGAGCCTTGGAGTCTTGCCCAAGATTTTACAAAAAGGCAGACTCGTACCTGTCCTTCTTTGGTCTGGGTTTGTCCTGTCTGGGCGATGGGGCTGCTGATGGATTTCCCCAGTGAGGACAGCCAACCTGTATTGTGAAACATCCTTAGGGAAGGTCCAGGAAAAGGCAGTCACGCCTGTATTCTCCCGGAGGCTCTTGGAGCACCTCATAACCTGGTGGCTGTGTCCTGAGCCCTGCCTCCTGGGAGGCTGCTGAGTGGAGAGCACAGGGGTGTGTCCACACGACACTGGGGCAGCAGGACTGTCCCAGGCAAACCAGGCCATGTGATCGCCCTGCATGCTTTATTCTTCTGGGGGGGGAGCACAGGGTCAGGAAGTTGTCCCGGAGAAAGTGAGCACTTGCATGGCTGAGGTTCTGCCGGGCGCACAGGGAACGTGAGGGCCGAGGAGGAAAGACGCAGATGAACACGTTGTCCACACGCCTGGGGGTGGTCACAGCCGTTTCACAGCCTGAGACGGACCCCTAAGGAAGAGCAAAGCCCTTGGATCATCATTGCCGAGACACTCTGAAGGAACCAGGGCTGAATTTGTATTGTAAGTCTCAGCTCGTCACCAAGCATTTAAAATAATAATATGGAGAATTCCCTGGCCGTCCAGTGCTTAGGGCTCCACACTGTCAACGCGAGGGCCCGGTTCAATCCCTGGTCGGGGAACTAAGATCCCGCACGCCGCCCAGCGTGGCCAAATAAATAAAATAATACTCATGACAACCAGACAGATCATGGGGAGGATTTTGAGATGCAGAGAAATATCAAATCTCTGTGTCGTGCATTAGGAGCTAACAGGGCTGTCGGTCAATCGTGATTCAAAAAACAACCCAAAAAACTGATAAAGAGATCAGATTTGTGGTTACCAGAGGCAGGGGGTGGCGGGAGGGGAATTGGATAAAGGCAGCCAAAGGGCACCAACTTGCAGTAGCAGATGATAAGTACTAGGGATGTAACGTACAACGTGGTAGTGAACGCTGCTGTCCGTTACACAGGAAACCTGCCGAGGGAGTAAATCCTAAGAGTTCTCATCACAAGGAGAAAAGTTTTCTATTTCTTTAATATTCTAGCTATACGAGATGATGGATAGTCACTGAATTTATCCTGATAATGATGTATGTGAGTCAAACCATTATGCTGCACACGTTAAACTTATACAGTGCCCTATGTCTATTACATCCCAATAAGGCTGAGAATAAATGGTATCAATACTAACAGATAACTGCCCAGCACCAACTGCCCGTTGGGCCCTTTACAGCAGCCCCCCTTACTCTCCCCAGTGGCTGAAGGTTGTAGGGCTATTTTCACCTCTTTTGCACGTAGGTGACCACTGGGCCGTAACCAGCTTGGTGACCGTGTGACCGTGATCCAGACCCCGGTTTTCCTCATGTGTGCAATGAGGGCTGGGACCAGCTCCGCACTCTCAAAGCTTCCCACGGAGGTGCCCCTGGCAGCAGAGAGGGGACGCGCTGCTCCCAGGAGCTCGGAGCATTGGCGGGATCAGTCGCTCCCAGGGCTCTGAAGTCTTTGGTTTTATTATAAACGTTTGTTTAAATTTCGCGTCCTCCTTCACAGATGCCTGTGTTTGTTTGAATAAAAAGATAATGTTGAAAATTATTTACAGTAAGAAAAACAGAGGTTCTTGGAAAGGGTGTCCTGCCAGCCTCTGTGGACCCTGGACTGACAAGCCCAGCAAGGGGCCTGGGGTGGCTCTAAGGCTCTTCCCAGGCTTGATCTGCCTGAATCTCCCGGGGTGTCTCCCTGGATCTGCCTGGATCTCGCTGGATCTGCCCGGATCAGATCTGGCTCTGCAGTGCTGAGGCTGTGGCAGGGGGCTGAGGGATGGCCCCGCATTCCCGACCAGGACCCTCAGTCCCTGTCTTCACGTTTCCCGAGGAGGAGTCCCAGAGCCTCTCGGGGTTTGCAGGAGAAATGAGCCTGACGGCCAAAGATAAAAGAAGGGGCAGGAAAGTCCATGTGTAAACGTCAGGAGGATAAAATGCTTGGAAGCAAGAAAGGGGGAAATCCACCTGGAGAGGAACAAGGGTACTATGGGGGCTCCAACAGGGAGATGCGTTCCCATCTTCAAGCTGCCCTTTACACTGTGAACCACAAGGAATGTTCCAGGGAGCTTGGAAGGTGATTCAGAAATTCCTCGGGGGGAGGCCCGGGGCTGGGTCCTCAGGGTGTTGTGAAACAGGCTGGATAACTTTCAGTTAAATCCACCACTTCCCCTTCCCCGCCCCCCTGGCCCGATGGCTTTGTGAGGTCACTGCCCTCTCAGCAGCCTGCGTCCACACCAGGCCGGTGCGGGCAGGGAGACAGGAGGCACCGGGAGATGGGAAAGGAGGGCCCGGGGCCTGGCAGCTCCCGGGAGAAGTGTGGCCGGGCAGTCTCTCTGGCAGACCTGCCTCCTCTGCTTCTGATCCGTTCCCTGTCCTCCTGTCGAGGAGCCTCCAACTTCCCTGTGGTCATCCGGCCAGACAGCAGAGGTGTAAGCAGTGAGCAGGTTGAAAATAACCAGGCTTTAGGCAAGACCTTTGACGCCTCTGGTCCGTCAGGGTCAATCGTATGAAAATAAGACCCTGAGACGGAAGAAAGGGCTGGACGACAATCCAAAGGTGAGCTCAAGAGACAGAGTTTACTCTTCATAGGACGGCCGCAGAGGGCAGGGCTGTGGTTCGGTCTCCTTTGTAGCTCACACGCGCCTTGCCTGGAGAGGTGCTTGGCTTTACTTTGTTTTTTTATGTTTTACGAATTCCAGCACCGAAGGGTTCATTCCAGTTTGCAGGGTAAGAACAGGGAGCGAGGCTGCCACCTGCCGGCCAATTTGTGAATCACACTCTCAGGGACCTCCTAGCTTAAGCAGCCCTTCATCCTTTGTCCACTGGGATCACTTGCTACTTAAAATTTTTTTGACTCTCACTTGAGACATTCTAGGCTCCTAGCAGAGAAGCCAAAAGTCCTAGGACGCTGGTCAGAGAAAAAGGCCTTTGAAGGTAGTGGAAGCTTTTTTGGCTCATGGCCCTCCTGTCTCCCCGGGATCGTCTTCCCCCTCCTCGGAGAAGCACCCACTATGTGCCAGGCGCTGGGCTGTAGACTCGGGGGTTCCCAGGGCCAGGGGACATGCGGGCGCTGGACGGGGTGCAGGAGGCCGGCACAGCAAAGAGCACTGGGGGCTCAGGAGGGAGGCTCCCCCGCAGGAATCCGGGACAGATTTACCTGAGCTACTGCACACGCTGACGAGCGGGACCACACGGAAGTGGACAGACTTCTGGCACCAGCTGCTGCGTAACGAGTCGCCCCAAGCTCAGTAGCTTGAACCCGCAGCAGTCACTCATTTTTCTCTCTCGTGGTTCTGGGGTTTATGAGCTCAGCTGCATAGTCCTTGCGCAGACCATACATGTGATGCAGTCAGGTGATGCTTAGCTGGGCTCATCAGGGGAACTTTCCTGCTCACGTGGCCTGCAGCTGGTGCTGGCTGGCGGCTGGACTGTTAGCGGGGACCCCCACGTGTAAGCTCACCAGGCGGCCAGGCGGGGCTGCGAGGGCAAGTGTCCTAGGAGAGAGGAAGCCAGGAGGAAGCTGTCTGGCCTTTTGCCAACCAGCCTCAGAAGGCGCAGAACAGAACTCCCCCCCCCCCCCCGTTTCAAGGAAAGGGGAAACAGACCCCCCCTCCCCATGTGCCCCGGGGCAAGGTCGCTGGACGGGGTGCAGGAGGCCGGCACAGCAAAGAGCACTGGGGGCTCAGGAGGGAGGCTCCCCCGCAGGAATCCGGGACAGATTTACCTGAGCTACTGCACACGCTGACGAGCGGGACCACACGGAAGTGGACAGACTTCTGGCACCAGCTGCTGCGTAACGAGTCGCCCCAAGCTCAGTAGCTTGAACCCGCAGCAGTCACTCATTTTTCTCTCTCGTGGTTCTGGGGTTTATGAGCTCAGCTGCATAGTCCTTGCGCAGACCATACATGTGATGCAGTCAGGTGATGCTTAGCTGGGCTCATCAGGGGAACTTTCCTGCTCACGTGGCCTGCAGCTGGTGCTGGCTGGCGGCTGGACTGTTAGCGGGGACCCCCACGTGTAAGCTCACCAGGCGGCCAGGCGGGGCTGCGAGGGCAAGTGTCCTAGGAGAGAGGAAGCCAGGAGGAAGCTGTCTGGCCTTTTGCCAACCAGCCTCAGAAGGCGCAGAACAGAACCCCCCCCCCCCCGCAGTTTCAAGGAAAGGGGACACAGACCCCGCCTCCTCATGTGCACCGTGGCAAGGTTCTAGAAGAGCATGTGGGGTGGAAACACAGCCCTTTTGAGAAAAGACAGTTTCCAGAGGTGGGTGGGTCACTCCAGGTGGATCCCTTCAGCTACGCTGCATTCAGAGATGCATTTCCTAAGAAAGAAAGTTTCTACAAATGGGGTGTTGCCAAGAAAAAACATGAGGGTCTATAAGTACCCGCTGAGCCGTCCTCACTAAGACTTGCAAAAACCTTTCTCTGAAAATGAGCCTCAGAGAAGGAGGTGGATGCAGGCTGCTCTCCCGAGGGGGTGTCGGGAACTCTGGCTGGCGGCCAGCATCGACCAAGGCAAGGGAGTAGTGGCCTCTGGGGGAGGGGCCGTGCAGCGAGGTTCTGCCGAGACGGACTCCCAGAGGGAGAAGACTCCAGCTGGTGTCACCACAGCCAGTGGCGGTAGAGCCAGCGCCTCCCTCCGCCCCGCTGGGCCGGCGCCTCCGCCCCGCTGGGCCTTCTCGAGCGGCCACGGGCAGCGCGCAAAGCGGGAAGCGGCCAGTAAGGAGAGACCGCAGCACGGCGAGAGAGATGACATATGGCCGTGGTCACGTGGAGGCTCCCTGTGTGGGCGTCACACAGGCGCCGGGAGCGGTCCTCGCGCAGGGTGAGACCCTGCTCGGAGAGCAGACACAGCCCGCCGTGAGAAGGCAGGATGGCACCGCAGTGCGCAGGGAGCGAGAGATCGAGGACCACAGCGGAGCGCGAGCGCCCACGGGCTGGTTGGGGGCAGGCCTGGATGCCCAGGACCCTCCGTGTGACCCACCAGCCTTCAGGGAAGGATGGCTGAACCTGCTTCAAAGGCTGGACGAGCTGGGATGGCGAGGTCGAGCGTGGCTGTCTGGGAAGGGGGATGGGGGTGGGGCTGGCCCTCGGCAGTAGCCGAATGTCTCGGAAACAAGCTTCCCGAGGCACCGCGTTTGGGCCCCTAGACCCAAGGGAAGGGGACCGCGGCTCCTCTCTCTGCGGAGCCTGGGGCCCAGCCTACAGAAGACTGGTCCAGCTCTCTCTCCAGGACGCGGAATGCTAAAGCCCATCGCCTGTGTTTTCCACTTTAGAGCACTGGCGGGCATCACCCGAGCCCCCTGCCGGCAGCTTCATGCTACTTTAGCAGGATTAGGTTGATTCTTCGTAGCCTGGGCTGCACAGACGTGGTCCCAGCCCAAACTTCCTTTGCTACAAAGGGCTACAGAGAAGCATGACGTTGGGGACAGAATTGTGTCTTGGTCAACTTCTGCATGTCCAGTGCCTGAGATAGTATCTGGTCATAGTGTAAAAAGGAAAGAAAAAAGAAAAGAAAAGGAAGGAAGGAAGAAAAACAGAGTCAGATTTTTAAAAGAAAAGAAAAGAAAAAAACTGTGCCTGGTGTCCTAGTCACACCTGATCTGGTCAGTTCAGGAGAGCCAGAGGAGTTCTGGAAACATCCATGACCCAGACAGACAGTATATGCTGAGTCCAAGAAGAAAGCTGCAGAAAAACACACACAGTGTGATTTCATACGTGTAGTTAAAATAGTCTATGCACGTAGAGAGTATAACATGGTAAAAGCATAAAGAGATGTATGGGAATGGTTAATGCCAAGTGCAGAATAGTATCCCCTCTGTGGGGAGAGAGAAATTCAGGAGGGCAGGAGCTTAAACTATGTTCTCGCACTGCTTTATTTCTTACACTGTATGGTGTTCACTGGTGTGATGGTTAAATTTATGTGTCAACTTGACTGGGCCACGGGGTGCCCAGATATTTGGCCAAAACGATTCTGGGTGTTTTTTGGCTGAGATTCACATTTAAATTAGTAGACTGAGTAAACCAAACTGCCCTCCCTAATGTGCATGGGCCTTGTCCAATCAGCTGAAGACCTGGATAGAGCAAAGGGGCTGACCCCCCCCCTCCCCCGAATAAGAGAGCATCCCTCCTGCCTGGCTGCCTTCAAACTGGGACATCTGCTTCTGCCTGGATCTCAAGCCTGCTGGCCTTCAGACCAGAATTATCCCATCAGCTCATCTGGTTCTCAGGCCTTCAGACTCAGACTGGAACTCAACCTGGGTCTGCAGGCTGCCAGCTCCCTCGGCAGAACTTGGGACTAGCTGTCGTAACTGCCTGAGCCAGCTCCTTATAATAAGTCAGTAAATAAATGAATGAATGAATATCCCATTAGTTCTGTTTCTCTGCAGAACCTTGACGGATGCAACAGGTATGTTTGCTATACTGTTTTCCATACCTTTGGCATGCCTACAATGTTTCACAATAAAATTTTAAATTAATAAATGATGAACGACTGTTAAGATGTCAGAGCTATAGAGATCAAGTAAAATGAGAGCTGGAAAACGCGCTTAAGATTTAGCTTTCAGGAGGCCAACGATTGCCTTTGCTGGAGTGGCTCAGCACCGTGTCCAGAGCGGAGGCCTGATGGTGATGGGCGGT